TGGCCGGTCATTGCCACATATGCCCCCCCCCCATGTACAGGTGAAGCTATATGAGAACTAAACGACATGTGAAATTGATCGTCGTGCAACATTCGACTGAAAGATCCCATCCCTTATCCAGTTGATGGAATGTCGTGTGAGGGCACTTGGAAGGGCTCTGTGTTGTAACCGGAAATATATGTAGATTGTTGTTCTGCCCGAGTACTTTGTTGGGTACATATAGGCACCATTTCTACATAGATCTTAGTGGGAACACCCTTCATTGCAACAACGCTCCTCAAAGCTTTCAAATGTTTATTCGTAGAAACAGGTAACACTTGAACCCCATTGCCAGTCTCAAACCTCATTTTAATGTTTAGTTCAACATTCCTTGGGTTTGAACCTATACTACTATGAACCTCGTTCACCGAATCATTGAAAGTCATGTTCGGTTCAAGTGTTAGTGGTTCCATATTTCCTCCACTATACTCGACACGGGGTCCATCGAACAGAATTTCACCTCCCCACCGGCATAACAAAACTACATTTTGTGCAGCCATATTCTACATAAAAACCAAAACACATTACACTTAAAGGCACTAAATCATCCCTAAATTGTCATAATTAAACACCAATGTAGACATACTTTTCAATTTACAACAACTTAGTATCACTAAATCACCATTAATAAATAATAATGTAGGTTATCATAATCACTCAAAAACTAACAATTATCAACCATTATCAACAATTACCAACACTAACAATTCAACATTATCTAAACTATTATCAACACTAACAATTCAACAATTACCAACACTAACAATTCAACAATTACAAACACTAACAATTCAACATTACCAACACTAACAATTCAACATTATCAATACAAACAATTCAACATTATCAAGATTTTAACCACAATTCCATAAAATTAAAAACCAAAACATAAACCCTAGAATTTTAAAAACCAAAGAGAGATTGAGTACATACCAAATTCGGGTTGAAGTGAGGCTAGGTTTTCAGGGCTTCCAGCGGCCGGTCGTCAGAGTGAGACGGCGGTGGAGGTGGCGGCCTGAACGGAGAAGCAGAAGGTTCTTGGAGAGAGAGAGATTAAGTGAGGGAATGGAAGTGTAGGAATGCAGGGAGAAAGAAGCTCGCTGTTATAAAATAAGGAAGAAGCTCGCTATTAAAAAAAAAAAAAGCTCGCAAGAAACGCTGCCTCATGTTGAACAATAAACGCTGCCTCAGGCAGCGTTTCATTAAGAACAATAAACGCTGTCTCAGGCAGCGTTTTAGGGTCTTTGTTTTTTTTTTTTAAAACTATAAATTACGAAATTTATTTTAAAAAAAAAGTCAACAGGTAAAACATTGAATTTTTTTTTTTCAAAAAAGCAGGGTATAAAACGCTGTATTTTCAAAAAAACAGGGTATAAAACGAGACAGTGTTTTATCCCTGAAACTTAGGTTGGTAAATAGTTTTGCCACGCAACCATTTTGCAAAATACTTTACAAATAGAGCTTAGTTTGGGAAACATCCAAATCTGTAAGGGGTAAGTGATTATAACGTAGCTTATATAGTTATAGTGTGATGTGTCCTCTACTTAGTATGTGTCTTCATGCCCATTAAGTGCAATATAATTGGACACTTTATGTCGTGTGTTAGACACGTACGTCGGCATGGCCATGGTGTAATGTCCAATACATGTGTAGGCACGTGATAAGCCCACCGGTGTAAAAAAACCACACAAATTTTTACCTAGACTCTAGTCTAGGATGAAATCCCTGCACCCCCTTGCAAACGACGCCGCATCACTATTGTTTTTAATTTCTTTCACCTTCAAACTACAGGACAATCTAACTTGATCTCCATCTTACATCTTTGTTGATCTCTCTGCCATTTCTACTTCTCCGTCGATCACAAAATAACTTTCGGTAGAATTGCTACATTTGCATGCTTTAGATATATTTATGAATTGCAGAGATTATTGTGTATTGATTTGATCAAAAATTGATTGCCGTAACTTACGATCAATTAGTTCAACAAGAAAATAACGAGCTTAATCAAACAGGCAAGCCATATCAAGAAACTAACACAAAAATTATAAAAATAATTTGATCCAATATTTCCTGATTTTTTTTGTGGGATGAAGATCTGGAATTATATATGCTAGTTTACTGTTGTGGTGGAGGCGATGACGACGCAACTAAAGTTGTGGATTACTTATTGTTCCAATTTTTAATTTACTTTGTAGTTGATGCCAAATATGAAAGTAATAGAGAGGGAGAAGAAAAAGATGAAGAATGAAGCTTAGAGGATTGTAGAGTATTAAGAAAGAGAGAGAAAATTATGAAGACTAAAGCTGAAGAAAAGATACCAGAAACACCGTACCGTACTGTATAATGAATTTGTTCATGAATGAAAGACAAACATAAATGAACGTATAATATTTTGTAATTGAACATTTAATTATGGTTTGATAGAACATTTAATTATTTTCATAGATGATTAAAAATTTATAAAAGTTATCTTTTTTGTATTATTAAAGGAGTTTGAGGATAATTATTGAGGCTTATGTGAAAAATAAACATATATTAAAAATTTGTGGAGTATATAAAGTATATAATATTTATACATATGAAAATGAACATCAAATAATATATAAATGAACATTTTTTTTATCATTTTCATGAAAAGCTATAGAAAATCAAATTGTTTTGAAATTCCTTATTAAATATGTAGAAAATATATAAAGATCGAAGATGGAAAAAGTGTGGACATTTATCAGAAATCTAATGATCGTCTATTAATATGCGAATAATGATCATATACTAATATATAAATGAACATTTATCAAAATGAAAATGAACATTCAACAAAAAGAATGTATTGTAGTTCATCAAGTAAACACTATAGGTTGTGCAATATGAGTTTGTTCTCCTGTAGCTATTGATTTCACTATATTGTCAATATATCCATAACTTGATGTACATGTATAAATATGACAATGAACATGCATCCATTTCTAGATGAGCATATTTCAATACAAGAATGAACATTTATTAAAATATCCTGAAATTAAAACAAAAACTAACAAACATCTTGACCGTGCATTTAAATTATGGGATTGAACAATTGCAATACTATATGTATAAACATCTACTAAAAAAATCGAAATCTACATCTATTAATATCCTGGCTATGTATCTACATGAGAATAAGCAAAAGGCTTTGATAAGAACATCAAATTTATTTATAAGTAGTTTAAATATAATAAATATGAACATTAGACGCTATATATATATGATAGGAAAAAATAACACATGAAAAACTATTAAAAAAAACAATATATACATAAAAATGAACCTAAAAGAGTATAGAAACTAAAGTGATCAACATATTATATAATGAGCATCTACTCACATATAAATGAACTTATATTGGAATGATAATGAACATGGCATAAAATTAATGAGCATTAAAAAATATATGTGGTTAAACATATAAAGCTCTACTCAAATTTTTTAGTATCTTACTGCTTGCATAAAATATACTTTTATCTTAGGTGTGACATACAAATGATACAGGCAGGCTAAGTAGTAAGTACTACATATACTTAATTACCTACTACTCCATACTATACATAAAAAAGAGTACGTATTTGTAACAATCAATACACATTATTTACAAAACGTGAATGAATGTCTATCAAAATTGAAATAATAAACTTATCAAAATAAAAAATGAATATTTATTAATACGAAAACGAACATTTATTAATACGAAAACGAACATAAACCATGTATGTATCAATATCGCAATAAATATATATAAAATAAAGTGATCTTGTATCAATATGGAAATGAACATTTATCAATATGAAAATGAACATTAATAAAGTTAAAATAAAAATAAAATAAAAATAAAACTACTTTAAGAAATTTTTTTGATTAGGGAAAGAAAAAGAAAGCAGCTATGCTTATGATAACTGTCAATTAGAAAGACAAAGTAGAATTAGAGACTAAAAAAATTTAAGAGGGACAAAAATTGATGGGAAATTCAATCAATGAAATTTTTGTTGATTGAATTTCCATGGAAATTACTAGTAGAAGAACAAATCACACACTTCTAAGTTACATAAATTTTATGTTAATTTTGTTGTATTTTCAATATATATGTGTATATGTCTATTTTAATGATAATCATTGGTTTGTATTTGTTCATATGCCTTTTAAATAGTGAACAAATTTTATTATATGTTAATGTGTAGAGTTATAAAGATGTTCAGTTATGTAATGATAAATGATCATTTATGTAGATATATATGTTTTTTAATATAATAATAATATAATTGAACATTATTGATATTATATTTGTTTATTATAATTATTGCAGCCGATAGTAGAAATGCTCAAGATACTCTTATTGTTTCAAGGAATGTTCACGCTGCTTCTAGCTAGTGCTTCAACAAATGTTCAAGCTACTACAAGTGTTTCAAGAACTGTTCAAGCTACTACTAGTGTTAGTTCTAAGAAGTGTTCGAGGTGGTTTAGGACATACTTCTATTAAGTATGATAAGTTCTTAGTCTTTTTTGATACAAATGTAGCTAAGAGGTTCACTAGTAATGGTAAATGAGGGAGTACATTAGGAAACCATAGCTTTTAAATTATTACTTTCATGAGACTGCATTTTATATTTTTTATCATGTAATGGATCTAAGGTTGTGTTTCTATTAAGCAATGTTTTCTTTCAACCTTAATATTGTTAGTGATGTAAATTATTTGCAAATGAACATTTCATAGATACAAAACACCGAGTTGTTAAATATGTTAAAAAAAGAAATACTAGCTGTTTAACATACAATATTAAAAAAAGAAATATCAAATTCTATTAAAAAAAATAGAAATACCAAATAAAGACTCTTAAGCGAGTAAAATCTATAAGTTCTATTGAACACATATAAGAACATATATCTTTGTATAAATGAACATATATAAATTTATAAATGAATATGTAATACTACTCTTTTGTAATTTTTCTTGATAATCTTTTGTTGATCCTACATTCAGTGTTTTCTTCAAAAGCATTAGTTGAGTTGTGTATTGCATCCTCAGCTTCCTGATTTGGTCTACCTGTTGATAAAAATGAATATATAATATAATATTAATTGTTATTTAATAATATATAAATGAACGATATATTTTAAGTAAATGATCATTTGATGGACTAACATTGTTTGGGTTTAAGTCACAAATCCATTTTTTATTTTGATCACCAGTGAATGTTTTCATGTGTTTCATAATGTAAACTTCACAATTTGTGTAATCCTCATTGCCACTTTAAATGACACATCACTACAATATAGATTATATCAATTTATATGAAGAAAAAAAAAAATGTTCAGTATGTATTTCATATATGTTCATATATGTATCTACAAATGAACATTATTTTTTAATATAAATGGCATATTTTTTTACAGGTAGATGCTCATATATGAATTATAAAATATGAATAGCATATCCATCTCTAAATTCCATCAAATGTTTCACTTAAAATGGTATAAAACTATAATCTAGCTTTGTTTATTATGCATTTAAAAATGTTCATATATGTATGTAAAAATGCTCATAATATTTAAAAAATAATGAACATATTAATAAATGTAAATGCACATATATAAACTATTAAAAAAACATTTGAATGTATTACCAAGTTTTGTATGCATGCGTTCATAATGTTTTATACAAATCAATAACACATATTTAAAATAAAAAAAAAAATCAAATCTGAATATGTTAATAAATACATATTAACATGTAATTATAGGTAAACATGTGAATATTTTCATAATATGATATGAAAATGAACATATAGTGCTTTATAATTGTTCAGTTTACCTAAGCATCCGAGACACTATTTTTACATCTGCAGCCTTAACGCTTGTATATCTTTGAAAGTGTTGGATCTACAATAGGAGATTTTTGTTCGCCGGTTTTTTTGTAGAGGTGTTTCACCATCATCTCAATTTTTACATTATAAACCATTTAATAAATTTTTTTTAATAAATTCTTGTAAATTTAAGAAGTTTGAGTAATATACTTACATTTTTGAAGAATCGTTGTTTCTGTTCTCTGAAATAGATTTCTCCAAACTGAAAAATGAAATTGAAGCAAGTAGATGTTAATTTTACTAATTATTCGAAATAATCACTTTGAAATTGATGAATTATTAACATAAATACTTACATATATACATTTTCTGTTATTAAACTATCAATTTGTTTCCTGAAACACAATCACAAATAAATTCTCAAAAAATTAGTTTTTTTTTTTTTTTTTTTTTAAAAAAAATAAAAAATTTATATGAACATTTATACTTACTCTTTTGATTTTCGCTACTTTTTTCGGTGAAATTTGCTTCGGTTGTTTGACTTCGTCTCTAATGTCCGCCATGGTTGAAGTTTTAAAGCTTAGATGAGAGAGATAATGGAAAGGGAAAATAAAGAGAGAACAAGATATTTTTTTTTTTTTTTTTTTTGGGTATATATATTTGTGGGGTAGAGGAAGTTACTGAATTTTTTTTAGGATTTTAGGGAGTAATAGTATGCTGCATTTTGTGAGGGTATAGTACTGCAGAAACTATGAAAGTAGGTAGATGGGGGAAGGGGTGTTAAACGATGTGTTTAGAGAGGGGTGTAGGGGATGATGCCTAGACTAGAGTCTAGCCATAAATAATTAAAAAAACCAAGCTGCATCATTTCGGTTGGGCTATATTGTAAATTTTCAAGACCAAACCGAAATCGTTTGTATTGATAATGGGCTTCGAAAAACCACAATCTTGGGCAAATAAAACATTCCAACCCCAAATCACTTTGCATTGAACCTTATCTCTCTTGTTTCACTCAAAAGTTACTTCCTATTCAAAGATACAGTGAAAATATTCATGTCTCTCCTCTAATGGCTCTAATCCTTTACTATTTTACTCTTGACTATCTAAAAATGTAAAAGTGTTATCAAGTACGAGTATAATTTTCTACAAGACTTCGAAATTAATTTTACATTGGAAAAATTGTGACATAGTCCGCAATCAACGCATCATATCCGTTCCTGCAATGAAAATGATTTTCAAACCATTGATATGCCTATTTAATAACTAGTGTGAAACTGCACATTAAGGCAAACAATAAAAATTATTTTTTTTTTCATTTTCCTTTAATTGGTATTTTAAATGGTAATAAACATTTTTTTCAATGGTAAAAAAAAAGAACTTTCTTAGGTGCTAAACATTTTCCTTTCGTGGTAAAGTGGTAAGGAATCAAACAATACATATATAGTTCAATTTGTAACTGTAATTCAAATTTGTACTCACTTTAGAGTTATAGAATCTTTAATTTACCCTTAATAATAAAATGGGCCAGTATCTAATGGGTTGCGACCCGACCCACAATCCAATCAAGATATTCCTCAATTAAAGGCCTACACACTTCTCATAAATGCAAACAAGGTACTGAAATGAGATTACATATGTATACAGGTCAAATGCATTATTTACATTTTATATCAGTTAATATTCAACTGTGCTAGTAATGCATACTTTACCAGTATATCACATTACAGTTACAAAATTTACAGGATGTATGAAGGATCAATTATGTACAACTTTTGCTTTCTACAAAACATGTTAATAAGCTCAGTCACTACTGTTATTATTTTACTAGTATGACTGTATAAACCTGTGCTTGCTATAGGCTAACGCGATTCAGAAATGATGGAGTACAAAAAAAAAAAGCTCAAGCCGCTTTGCGGGTTAGTGATAGAATGGTAGACACCATAAGCTTGTAATCAATTGGCTTTGTCAAATAAGCATCCATACCCACCTCCAAGCATTTGGCCTCATCAGACGACATTGCATGGGCTGTCAGTGCAACAATTGGAATGTGGACACTTGTTCCTGATTCCAATCTTCGAATCTCTTTCGTTGCTTCATAGCCATCCATCTGTGGCATCTGCATAGTCACAAGACAGTGTATTGTAGGAAATCAGGAACTTATTAACTATTACTGAATACATTGGATAACCAGTATAGTTCAATGAAGTGTATTACCTGACAGTCCATCAGAATTAAGTCAAAAGGAGGGAAGTTCCGGCTTAGAGTTGGAGTTATACTTCCTGCTCCTTCTGGCAAGGGAGATGTTGTGCAGCATCCTTCTGCATTTAGAGAGGATTTGAGAGTGTTTACTGCTTGTAATCCATCTCCGACAGCCATCACTCTAGCTCCTACTTTTTCCAGCATTATTGTAGCCACTCTCTGAAGAACTGGTGTATCTTCTGCAAGGAGGATCTTAATTCCTTCTAGAGATTTCTGTTCACTCGAATTCTTTGCAAAATGCACATCCTTCCTTTCTTCAGAACTACTGCTGATCAAAGTGTTTCTGTTGTCGTCAAAATCTCTCTGACTGTCACGGTTACCTTCAGGAAAGCCATCTTCATCAAACTCAAGCAGATAGTTGTTTGCTGCTGATAATTGTGAGAATGATGGTTTTACACCTCTCTCCCTTTTCGTTGCCTCATTTTGACTTGCACTTCCGGATCTCAAATGTCCAATGTCTCCTTTATCAGAATCCTCAGAGCTAGAGGCATCATAATGAATTGGATCCACCTCGAGACATTCATGCATTTCCCCTTCTGTTGAATCGGAAGCACTTTCACTTTTTAGCTGTACTTCAATATCCCTTTGCTTAATGACAGCTTCCAAAATCTGAATCATTTTTGACTTGTATAAAGGTCTGTTAACCATCAAAAAGTGCCTCTTTCTTCGAAGCTCTTTCTTGATTGAACTAGGTGTATCATGATTTAATATCCATGCAAACTTTGCTTTGTCTGCATATCTATTGAGGCAGTTCAGCTGCTCCTTCCAGATATTTGGTACTTAAGTCAAGCAAACCAATATCAACGACTATGATAATCTGTGACCGTTTAACATCCTTAGCAGTGAATAGCTCTATCTGGTTTTGTATGTCAATGAAATTGTCATCAGGTGGACCTTTGTCTTTAAAAATCCTTCTAAGCATCTGTGTTAGTTCATTCCAATCAGATGCTTGTAACGTAGAAACCCCCTTTTCATCTAGCCACTGGGACATAATTAGCCTTCCTGTACTGCCACTTAGTGCAAGTAGTACCTACATTCAGAAAATTTTCAATTTTTCATGGAAATCTACATTCAGCATAATTCCATTTATAAAAGAAAAGCCATCTTAAAAAGTGTATAGTATGATCAATTATGGCTTTATTATCATTAAAATACTTAACTCGATTAAAAACAACATTAAAGTCTAGGAATACTGACCATCAGGTTATGGTCAGCTAGTTCTACTTGAATATGCTGTTCAGGAATATTTGAGGCAGTGCCAAGAAGCAAGGATATCTGCATCAATGTCCCAGGCCCATTCTTCTCAACTATCTTTATATCTCCTCCATCTTACGAACCTGTCATATGGTTATAAGTCATCAGGAGGGTGGGTGGGTACAAAAGAATACCGAGGTTGCATTTTTAATCTTTACAGCATCTCATAAAGTAAAACACAGAGATTTGTAAAAGTCACTAATGTTCTCAGAAAGTCATTTTCTTTCTCTTCATGGCTTGGCTAAATTTCGGACAGGGGAGCAGAGGGAAGAGGGACAGGAGCACTCACCAAGGTTCGTACAATGCAAAGGCCCAGACCAGTGCCACCATGCCTAAATAAGAGAACAAAAAGAAAACCAATGTTCTACATTAGAGACTTGACAGTTAAAATGGTAACATGAAATTATGTAGTATCATACAGATAATAAAATGTCAAGAGTCAGTAGGAGGATCAGGTAAAATGCTCACATTCTTGTAGTTGATGGGTCAGCTTGCTCAAAGCTTTCAAATACAGACTCCCATTTATTTGGATTGATACCTGATCAAAGGAGAGTTAAATAAACGCGGTTAGTAAGATAAAGATGAGTAACATATAGTGAAATTAGAAGTAGAATGATCTAAACTTTCAAGTAGATTATTGGGTACAAACCGCAGCCAGTGTCCTCTATTCAAACCAAAGTCGCACTTTGTTTTCTTTTCTGTACGGGTTTTTCATGAAAGATCCCAGTTGCTTTGACTTCATCATTGGAGAAGAGCCTTGATTGAAGGAAAGCCTTCCTGTGTTGCTGCAAGTACCGGGTTTTTCGCACCATCCTCTTAAGATTATGTAGCCAGCTGCAAGGGAAAAAACAATTGAGTTGTATTACTGTTGCATCTGATCTGTAGAAATATTACCCCTCTGATTAAATGAGATATTAATATCATCATAAAACAAAATTGTACTAACATGTTGTGAACTTGATAGAATTACTGATAAGATTTGCGAATTATTTGAACTGCTCGAAGCAGAATCTCCTCGAAGCAACTTAGGCATGTCATCTGAAAAGCAATAGGTAAAACAAGGTATCCTTCAGAAAAAATCAGGGTGTTCTGAAAGATTATACTGACAGTAAATATAACTGTATATGAAAGTACGCAACACATTTTACTATAATAGCTTATATCACAAAGGGATGATTAACTAGTTGTACATTCATACCTGAGAGATCTAAAAGAGTCTCTACGTGGTGGTTGATACACTGAACTGAAAATATGTCAATAAGTCCTTCAAGTTCTCTGCCCAAATTGAATTCTGCTTCTTCGAGCACCAGTTTCCCAGATTCAACCTGTTTTTACAAAATTACAAATTTTTCAGAATTTGGGCTCAAGCATCATGGATTACATCCTGAACAAACTTTAAAAATATTCTATATTTTCAGAATATCTAGGACAGTTCAGTCTCTGAGATAAACGCTATATATACATAAATAGATTTCAACCATCAGATAGGCAATCTGCTTGAATGTCAGTTACCTTACTGAGGTCCAAAATGTTGTTAAGAAGACGGAGAAGTGCATTTGAACACTTTCGAATCTGAGAAACAGTTGCATGTTGCTCATTTGTGAGACAATCATCAGAAATTAGAATGTCCAGCAACCCAATCACTGCAGCCATAGGGGTTCGCAGCTCATGGCTGTTTACACGCAAAATCAAACTTTTAATTTCCAAAATAAACAATTCAACAACCACAAAGACTCTTACATGTTACAAAATACTATACAATTTAAGTCAAGTAATGGCAGCACATTTGACATAGAAACTTTGCAGTGAAATAAGAAGGCTTCAAATACAAGTACTAATAACTTGCCTCATGTTTGC